TTCCATAGTGTATATTTTTAGGTACTTTGCCTTTAAATGTAAATCTACCTATGTATTTATAGTATAGCTCTTATAGACAACATACAGTAACTATTGCTTTTCCATCCAGACAGGAAACCTCAGCTTTTTAGTTCGATTATTTAGCCTGGAGCAATTCATATAATTATTTGTACAGTTAAGTGTGTCTTCCTCCTTGCTATAAATTTTTGTTTTAATGCTTTTGACTTTTCTTCTTTTGTTGAGTCTTCCCCGCCTTTATTTGGGTTACTCACATATGGTTTCTTCATTTTATCTTCTTTCCTTAGCTATATGTTTTAGGCTGATATTGTTTGTTCTACCGCTAATGTGATATACTCTAAAATTACATAAGTCTATTTAGAGTCAATGTTCTAGAAATTCACACTTCCTACCTGACAATCACAACTTTCATTTTACAAATGTGACAACCTTCCAGTTCCCATTCCCTCCTTCTTCAAGCTGTGTTTGTAGTGCCTTTTATCTGTATGCAATTAATAATCACACTTCATAATACAATGTTATGTAAACAAATCATACATAAGCACAAATATTTTAGCAGATTTTCATTTATATATGTATTTTCCAATCTTGGTGTTTTTCATCCCTTTGTATCCTTCTCACTCAGATTGAAGAACGTTCTTTAACTTTTTACAGTTTCAGTATGCTGCATTCAGTTTTCTTTCATTTGATAATGCTGTCTTTAATTTTTGTAGAGTATTTTTGCTAGGTACAGAATTCTCACCTGGCATTGTTTTCACCATGTTAATTTCATCATTACATTGACTCTTGGTCTTCATCATGTTTGATACTGTCCTCCATTTTACAGCATTGTTTCATGGGCCTTTTGTTTTCCTAGTCACGTGATTTTCACTTTAACTTGAGTGTTCGGCAGTCTGACTATCATATGCCCACGCCCTTTGTGTGTATTCCGCTCAGGTTCACTGGAAGTGGACTGTAAGTCCTCACCTTCAAAGTAGCCACTCAGAACACAAGACATAGGTCAAAAGGAAGAAGCAAATAATGACACAAAACTTCCTCTCAATGAACTAAGATAAACTGTAATATAAATGAAACAAATTAGTGTATATATTAAAATGTTTTTAATAAGTAATTTGAGGAAGTATTAGAACTTCAACCTATTTTGACTTATCTCTTTTCTATTTTATATGTATCTTATCTGCTTCTCATATAAGAAAAGCCATGCAATAGTTAAGCTTGTGTATCTATGTCTGGCTTATTTCATTGAACCTTTTGTTCTCAAGTTACATTCATTTATCTATCAGAGCCTCAATTTTACCTATCTTTTTGGCAGTATAGTGCTCTATTGTAAATAAATACCATGTGAATTTTGTTTTGAGGAAGAAAGTTACACAGCCCTCCATACACCAAGGTGGCCCTGCAAGTCGAGGAGAACCAGGAAGGAAATTACACTGCGCCCCTGCACCAACAGGGACCACACAAGCTAGGGAGAACCAGGAAAGAAGGTGCACAGTCCCTCGCACCAGCAGCAGCCCTGCCGGTCAGGGAGACTCGGGAAGGAGGCCACAGCTCCTCCCTCCCATGAGCCAGTCAGTGAGTGGGCTGGAAGAAAAGAAGCACCCCTCCATAAAAAACCCCCTGATTCATGGGAACACAGGCTGAGATGATAAAAACTGAAGTAAAAAGCAACCCAATGCTTTTATTGTTTAATTTTGCAAGCCTGAAGTCAGTAGTCTGACCATTTAGAAGAGAACAGTATGCAGTACAGTAACTATTGTGGATTTCCTCCTCCCTTATCATTGTTTTGCTGTTTCGTTTTATTGTTCTGTTCTATTCCCTTTAAAATAAAAATAATTTGTTTCATTCTTTCTAAAAATAAAAAACTATAGTCAAGACATTTAATCAAATTTGGCAAATTTTCAGTAATTACTTTTTAAATGTAATACATATTTTCTTTCATCTTACCACTGTTCCTTCAACATCTCCTAGTCTATAAATATGTCAGACATATTCAGTGGATAGAAGATGCTGCCTCATGAGGGTCTGACTCCCCTTTTTGTATTTTAAAAACAAAATACATAAAAGGGATAAAAACAATATAAAATTTCAAAAAACTGATTATCCATTTTCTTCCATCTTTTACTTTAGATTGATTCATTTCTGTCGTTCTGTCTTGAAATTGAAATTCACTGATTATACCTTCTATCATTCTAATGTACTGTCAATCTTATCCAATAAATTTATCACTTAATTCTTGGGTTTTCAATTCTGTATTTAGTTACTTGTTTTCCATAATTTCAATATCTATGCTGGGATACCCTAAATATTCACTTACCTAAACTCTATTTTCCTTTGTTTGGACAGTATTTTCTTTAAATTTGTGACTATATTTATTCTGAATGTATAAAATAATTTTCTTTGATAAATTTAACATCTAACTTACCCTGGAATTATTTTACATACTTTTTCCTTTTTTATAAATATGCTTTATGGTTTTTTTTGTCTTTTTTGTTTTTTGTTTTTTGTTTTTTATCGGTACCAGGAATCGAACTCACGACTGCCTGCTTGCAAGGCAGGCGCTTATGCCGCTGAGCTAAATCCCCAGCCCCAATATGCTTTATATTTTCTCTGTTCTGTGCTTGTCTGTTAATTTTAAATTGTACAACAAACACTAGAAAATTCTGGATTCTGCTTTCCTCTTGGAAGAGTGTTGGCTTTTTAGTCACCTATAGCTCACTGGCTTCCTATTTAAACTTTAAACTTACATAGGCTTTTGTTAGAGTAGATGTGTGAAGACAGAGAATTTCCAAGTTGCTTTAACTTGGCAGAAGCCAACCTCAAAACTCCATTTCCTCTAATTATCTCATCTAGGTTTACTTTAGAGTTTCTTGGGGGAGGTTTAGGGTACACCCCTCAATAGTGTGGTCTTTATTCCTAATGAGCAACCTCTAGCCTCAATCTGCTGTCCAAACTGACAATTGAGATATCAGCAGCCTCTCCTGCCTGAGAATAAACTGTACTTGGTTCTAGCCCTCGTATTTTCTTTTCAGGTCCATAGAAAGTAGTCACCTAACAAAATCTCAATAATTGCTTTCCTACACACAGCACAACACTCAGACAAGACTTGTGGAAAAATCTCTAAATTCCCATTCTCCCCTGCAGACTGCAGATGCATCAGTACTGTGGATGCTAATTTTGTCTTCCAGCTCAGTGGAAGTTACCCTGCTTGGACTCTGTTCCACTGCCCCAAAGTTCAAATACAGTGTCTAGGTAGAAATTCACTGTTTCTTACAGAGTTTCAGCATAAATTTCTTTTTTCACAAGGGTCATATATTTTTATGCTTCCTGATGCCAGCACCTCAAAACAGTTTCTTCATTTATTTTATCTAGTTTAATGGTTGGTTACAGCAGAAGAAGTAGTATAGTATCAGCTTCCTACCACAGTTAATAGTGGAAGTGGCAATATTTGTTAAGTTTTTAATTAAAAAGTTAAAATGAATACATGAATTTGTTTTGGGCCAACTATCTCCCATGTTATATGCTGGCAATAAAAATTTAGTTTAAGTATTTTGAAAACACATTTTATTTTACAGAGCTATAGCTATTTTATTAAACTATCAGATCTTCTTATATAAAAAGATAAAATGTTTATAAATAATACTAACCTGCTGATACCTTTGTAGTATATCAGCTGGTATACCCAGAAAAAAATAAATGAAACAGTCACATTTTAATAATACATGAGGCACACAAGGAAAACACTTGTCAAAACTGTACAATGTTACACTATGCTATCTGTGTATAAATGCTTATGTTTATAAAAATGCATTTTCCCTGCATTTTGCTAATCTTTTTTACTTGGCATATTTTTAATGGTTTTTCCAAATGACCTTTGGAAAATTAATCAAGGATCTGACACTGTCTTTTGGAGAAATGCAAGAAAGAGTGCTGCCTATAATAACTTTTGCATGAAAAACAGTCAGAAAATGACAAAACTGAGAAAACATTAATACCAAAAAAAAAAAAAAAAAAAAAAAAAAAAAAAACAGAAAGAAAGAAAGCTTGCAAATAGAACCAACTAAAAAATGTTGCCTATTTTGTGAGTAATATTTTTATGGGTCTCTGAAATTCTATTTTGCCTTTATTTTCTATCCCATTGTTTTTATTGCTGAGACCGGATAGATTTTTCAAAGCAATTTGCTAAGTAAAACACACCACGTTTTCTCAAGAGCTCTAACAGAACTATCTCAGATTAAAGATTAATAAAATGTACAGAAAATGTGTGTAAAAAATATAAATACAAAGAACCCAGGAACAATGCCTGCAATTAGACAAGATGGGAATCTAAAAAGAAATTAAATTTAGTTGTAATACATTTCCTATTCTTTTCTTTGAGAAAATTACTACTGAAGGGAAGCAGTTTCCTCCCCCCGTAATTTAAATGTTAAGCTGCCAGATGTGTGTCTCATGCTTGAAGAGTCGAAGCTTTGCATTATTTAGCATATTAAGAATCACAGAATTTTAAAAAGGGCTCCTTTATTGCCTGGAGGTTCCAATTAAGTAAACCTTAGCCTGGTACATTTAAAACTTGCAATACACAAGATTTTCTCCGTTCTCGCACCCAGTCAAGTCACATCTCTATAATAATACGGAAAATCTTTTAGATGATATAATTTTTCTTTTGCTTGAGGAATTAAACCTATCTATTATTTTAAGAAGTTTTTAATAGAGGCCAGCAATCTAGGAGACAACTAAGGATTCAAAATGCTTTTTTAAATCATTGCCAGTTGCTTTTCTTATTTTTACAGCAGACCATTTTTCACAGGGGCAGTTCGTCTTATCAATCTTTTTTCTTCTTTCTTCTGGCTGCTTCTACTGCGATTGTCATTGTTCTACTCTTGTGAGACAAGGCAATTCCAAGAAGCAACAAGAAGTTCATCGTTTTGGAATCAATATTGCGTGTCCATGTGTTTGGCAGTCTGTTGGTGAGATGCTGATCATACAGCGCTTTCCGGGTGCCCTTTCAGCAGTTTGTAGAGTTTCAGCAGCTCAACTGAAACCATAATCCGATAGAGGTTCTGGAGGAACACAACATTCATAAATCATACCCTTAAATACAGTTTTTTTTGCCATTTTAGAAAATGTCAAAGGTGTCAATTCTGTCCAAATATACCGCTTAACAGTGACTATTTTAGTAAACTGACTTGAAATGCAATCAGCTAACTGACAGTTAGAAGCACATAATCTAGTTCGCAGTATAAATGAACAGTTTAAAGGCCAAAATAAGCACCAAACAGGTTGCAGTGACCATGGTTGCAATTACAGGCCAAAATCTTAGTATTAATATGGACGTCTCTATCAGAAGTAGTTGTTCAAAACTTTGAAATGTGATACGTTTATGTCTAACTTCTAGCTAAGAAAACAAAGATGGCTTATCTATCTTCAAAATTAAGTCAGATAAGTAACTGAAAATATTAATCGTGAACAAACTAAGAGTTACACAAAAGCAAATAATAATTTGACGATGTTCTGGGTTACTGACATAATTTGATTCTATAAATAGTAACTTAAAGGATCTTGCCAGCAAAAAAAGATGAATGCTTGTCATAACAAGAAACAAAAATTATCACTTCTTCAGATAAAAAAAATGAGAAAATTAACCTCCAAAAATTTAACTGTTCGCAAATTATTATAAAATTCGAGCTTAAGAACAGCCAAGATTATTCCCTCCAAAACCCAAGTGTTTGGTAAAAAGTAGGTTTTATCTCATTTTATTTACTGGCATCTTAGGCATTTTCCTCATTGCTGAAACACAATACTTGACATCCACATCTTAAAAGAGGGGAGATCTACTTTGGCTCACGTTTCAGAAGTCCCAGTTCATGTTTGGCAGGCTGTACCACGGAAGCTGCAGGTGGAAGAGTCTGGATGGAGGACAGCTGATTGCATCATGGTGGTCGGGAAGTAGAGGGGAAATACCCTCCCAGCCCCACGGTACCTCCTACCAAGTCCACCACAGTGAACCCGCTGCCCAGTGCCCTTCCCAAAGCCCCACCTAGGACTGCACAAAGCTCTAGGGGGACATTCTTGATGTAAACCGTAACTGGTTCCCTACAAATGTTAAATTGCTTAATGGCTTCACAGTTAGAGATATTTTCATATAATGAGGAGCAGTAATACAACCAAATCATCCCTCCATCCAATTGGTCTAAACCACTAAGCCACAGAATTTCCACAAGGATTTTTAAAACACAAACACTTTGGTATCACTTATGAATATCAGCAGTTAATTGATAGAGATTAATACATTATATAATATTTTTAGACTGCAAAAGCATTTTCATATATTAGTTATTTTGTTAAAGTTATTTTCATTGATTTTATGGACATAACAGAACAGTAAATATTTTTGCCATTAGTGTGGTAGCAATCTCTGAATATTTTGCATTTATAAGATGAAAAGATAGATTCACACAGTCATGCTTTGCCTAATAAAATTTTACTATGTAAGAACAGAAATATATTTGGTCTTTTTCTCCCTAAGAACAAAACATCACCATGTCTGTCATACCATATGAATATTCTACCCTCTTATGAAAACCAGCTTCTATTCTTCTCTTACTCTTAAAAATATTAAGCTCTCTACCTTAAGCACAATGAAAGAATTGAGAAGTTTTAATATGCTGTACCATGAGCTTTCTGGGGTTATCATCAATTAACACTCCCATTGAACTTAAAACATCCAAAACTGGAATAATCAATGGCTTTCCTCACTGATAAGTCCCTATTGCTAGAAGAAGACAGTAGAGAGGGTAACAGAAGTCTTGACCCAACACCATAATTAAACAATCTGTAACTATAACCAAGTGTGTTACGGGAATCAGCTTCACCAAAGGTGGTTTCCTGAGCTCCTACTGTATACCAGGATTCAACTGGTGCCTGTTATCACCTCTTTATAGGTGAAGAAGCAAAGAGATTAAGGAAAGTTCACAAAGCACATTATATAACAGTCAAGATCTGCACTTAAGCCCTTCGAGCTCCCATATCCAGGTTCTATTCCTCAGTAAACCTGTGGTTGCTTTAGTTCCTTCTGTGGATCTTTTGCTGCATGCAAAAGAATGAAATGCTGAATGCATTTCAGTAGTTCGCTGACAATTTGAGTCTCAGGACAATGATCTTAAAGTGAAAGCTCTTGGCAGGAGAAAAAAAACCACACACACACACACACACACACACACACACACACACACACACAAACAGAACTATGACTCACATGCTAACTGCAGACTTCTAAGTGTCTGTGCCAGAAGGGAAAAAAAAATGAAACCTTATAGAAAATAATAGTAACAGCTAACACTGTTGAATTCACAGTACATACCATGCTTTACAGGTTTCAAAGACTCAAGTAGGCTACTACATTCAAATTATTTTCTAAAAGCTGCTGTAAAACACTTTGGCACATAACAAAATCTACCAGCTAAACGTCTACCTTCTTCCTGAAAGACATTACACTAAATAAAATGAGCTTAATACTACATAATTCTACTGAAATGAAGTGCCTACAGTAGACAAATCCAGCGGCAGACAGCAGGATAGAGGTTACTGGAGGCTGGAGGAGGGAAATGGGAAATTATTATTTAATGTGTTAGTGTTTCAGTTTCGTAAGATGAAAACTTTCTGGAGATGAATAGTGGTGATCATTGCACAGCGATATGAATGTGCCTTATACCACTGAACTGCACACTTAGACACAGCTAAGATGGTAAAATTATGTTGTCTTTGCCAGAACTATTTTTTTAATTCCATATTCCTCAAGGCCTGAATGAAATGCTAAATACTTCTTCAAACACTACAAGACCCAAATAAGCACAAAATACAAATAAACAAAGAAAATAACAGGAGGATTTCCAGCCACGAAATATGGTGTCATAAAGCCATTTCTCTCTTGTCCTTCCCATTCAATACAGCCATAAAGTCTGGACAAGCAACTGGCAAAGGAGACTTCTGAAAGTCATAAAGAGACAGACAAAATGACCCAAAACCCAGGAGAGCAACTGTGCAGGACAGACCCTCTTAGGACCCAGACCCTGCACTACTACCCAGCATAAGAGACCACTTAGATTTCCTGACTCTTCTGAGGCCCAGAAGTCTACACAGTGCTAGGTGACTCCCGTGGGTGAGAAGCACTCTCCTTTCCTGCTGCCTGTGACATCTGCCTCCACAGAGGACCAAGTCACACATTCCGGGGGATCCCATTGCAACTGCCTGAGTTGGGCAGCATCTTAACATCTTGAGATCAGGTTGCCTTCCTCTACCCAAAGACAAGGGGTGACTCCACCTACAGGAGTTGATTTGTCCCCTTAGTGATTTCCGGAAGAATCCCAATGAGACCCTAGAGACACAAGTTGAATCATGACCAACATTTTTCAAGTGCTGAAGTAAAAAATAAAAATCCATCAAACACAAAGTCTACTTCTGTGGAAGGGAGAAGTGGATTCTCAGATACAAGAAACAGAATTTCTGCTAACAGATCTACTCTTAAAGAATGGCCATGGCACATTACTCAAAGAGAGAGGAAACAGTAAGTGAAGGAATCCTGGGACATTTGAAAGAAAAGAGAAACAGAAAGAGCATCAAACGTTAGTATCATACACACTACCCTTTCCCGAGCTTCATTAACCAGACTTGATGATTGTAACAAAAGTTTGTAGCAACATTCGTGTCTTATTTAATAATATTATATTTAAAAGGCAGGAGGTAAACTATGAGAACAGCAGTAAAGTGCCCACAACTGAAGTGGTAAAATTCTGACAGTGGGACACTATGATGTCATAAGTGAAAAATGACTGGTTAGGTGACTTTGTCACTTTGCAAATGCCATTGAGTGTACTTACACGAACAAAGTTGGCTGTAGCATCACTAAACAATATAATCTTATAGCACCATTGTCATTTATGTTGTCTTTTCTTAACCAAAATATTGTAAGTGCCACATGATTATATTTTATATGTAAATCAACCACTAGGAAAACCACACAGATGAATTCCAAAATTATAATTGAAATGGAATTCTAACACTTGTCCAACTAATGCACGGGAAGCAAGTGGAGAATAAGTAGGAGAAGTAGAGGAAAATATGAGAAAACAAATATTAAAATGCCAAACTTATTCCCTACCATATCAATAACTTACTTAAATGCAAATAGGCTAACTTGTAAATAGTCTAATAATTGGCAAATATTGTAAAAATGACTATTTAAAATTAAAAAAGAAATACTATGAGAACAATAACTTGAAAATACCATCAGCTATATATTTTTTTTTGTCTTTTTCCTTTTTTATCGGTACCAGGGATCGAACTCACGACTGCCTGCTTGCAAGGCAGGCGCTTATGCCACTGAGCTGAATCTCCAGCCCCTACCATCAGCTATATTATAGATGAAACAGACTTCAGAGAAATGAAGACACAGAGGGCAGTATATAATGACTTAATTATTAACCTACCAGGAAGACATAGCGATTTTAAATCCTGATGGGTAAACAAGAGTCTCAAAAATGCACAAAGTGCAAATTGATAAACTGATAGAGCTGAAAGGGGGGCAGGTGCATTCCCAGTCACAGCTAATGATGTCAGCACTTCCTTCTCAATAAATAATCAAACTACAGGACAGAAAACAAAGATATAGAGGATCTCAACAACAGAGTCGACAAAAAAAATATAATTACACATGCACACAATACAGATATTTCTACACACATACACATATGTAAAACATTTCATCCAACAACAGCTAATACACATTTTTTTCAAGTGCCCCCGGATTATGTCTTGGGTCATAACACAAATCTCATCAAAGGTCTGAAATCCTATAGAATATGTCCTGTGACCATCACAACACGGAACTACCCATCATTAGTGGGAAGCACTGTAAACTATTGAAAATTAAATGATACACTTCTAAATCACCTGTAAGGAAACTTAAAGGAAATGAAACCATAGTAATGCTGTGTACTCCATGCTAAGCCAATGCTGAGGAGAAAACTGATAGCACTAAATGTTCCTGTTGGAAATGAAGAAAATCAATAATCTGTGTTCTCACTTCGTGAATCTAGAAAAACATGAAAATAAATCTAAGACAAGTAGAGGAAGAAAATAATTATAAGAATAGAAATTATTGAAATTAAAAACAGGAAAATAATAGAAAAAAATAAATAAAACAAAACTGGTTCTTAAAATGTAGTTAAAAGTGATAAATTTCTGGAAACCTTGATAAAAGGAAACAAGATACAACTCACCAATATCATGAATGAAATGGAATATTGCTACTGCACTCTACAAGGTGTGCTCAAAATATATGGCTAATGTTTCGATTCAAAAACATTTATTACAGTAAAGGATGTCATCATGAATTCCTTTCAAAACAGAAAAATAAATACGAGAATAGAAATGATAGATGCAAGTCCACAAAATATGTCCAATTTCTGATTTTTAAAAAAAGTACAGTGGTGAAAAGATAGTCTAGACATTTTTGTGAAAAAAATTAATCTATGACTCTCTGTAGGAAAAGAATAACCTCAAAATTTATTCTCTTCTAAGAAGAAAATAGGGGAATGTCTTTGAGATCTTGGACTAACTCAGTGAAAGTTCTTGCATGTGAAACAAAGTGTGATCAACGAGAAGAGAAATTGATACATTAAAGAATAAACATCACTGTCTTGGGAAAGACTCCATAAAGAGGATGGGAAGGAAGCTAACAGACTAGGTGTGGAAAACACTTGGAAAATACACATTTGGTAAGTATTGATTTGATCTGGAATTGTCTATGTCATAAGAGCATTCAGATGATGGATTCCTGGTCTCCCTAACAAGAAGTTTGCGACACTTGGTTAAAACATTTTCCCAGGTGCATTAGAATACACAGGGTAACTGATGAGTGCAAGTCTGAAAATGGAAAGTAAAAATAAACAACTCACAAACTTCTATTAAAAGCTAGGCATAGGTATAAGGGAATATCATTAACTGTAGTTCAAGAAGAAACACTGCAGTGTTTTTAAAATGATGCACATATACATTTGAAGCATTTTGATTTAGCAAACAGTGTGTGGTGTGTGTGTGTATGTGTGTGTGTGTGCATACGTGCATGTGTGGTTAATTTGAATTCTGACAATGCACTTGCTAATAAATACAACATGCCAGGTTAACTATGGAGAAACTAGTAACAATCTTTTTGGAGATGGAGGTTGGATGAAACGAAAGGTGAAATCTTTGTGGCTTAGGGCTTTACACTATTTTTCACTAACTTACATTTCCATGTGTCCCTCCATGATATTACAAGAATTGTTGAAATCTTTAAAGTTAGCATTATGTCTCATATATTCTTATTTCTAAGTACATAAGACATACTGCCAAATATTTTTCACCAAAGCTTTAAATTTATTAAATTTTAAATAATTAAGATTCTTATAAAATACTTAGGGTCCAATGCTTATTTAAAAAGTTACAGGAAATTATCTTTAAATTTTAGCTATGGTCTTTAAAAAGTAGGTCAAACTTTTTGATTTGTCATAATGCAAAATATTGAAAGATCATCTGTCAAGGACCAGCACTCCAAACAATGACTATCTTCCCTACAATATCGCCAGGTGTCAGCATTCAAGAATAGATGTATAAAATGACTATAATTTCAAGAGAGATTGATTTTCTCCACTTCATAGTAAATAGTGCCCAATGTAACTATTTTACTCAAGAAAACTCTTTTCAGAATTTGTATGGTCTACCTGCTACTCTATATACATCCTCTAACTAGAATGAAGTAATCACTATACAGAAAACTTTTGGGTGGATCACTATGGATAAAAATATTATCCCTTCATGTCCACTATTCTTGTGGTACTGGGCACTGAACTCAGGGACTCCATGCTGATTTTTATTTATTTTTTTTGAGACAGGGTCTCCCTAAGTAACTAAGTTGCCCAGGGTGGTCTTGAACTTGCAATGCCCCCGCCTCAGCCTCTCAAGTCCTCAGCAACCTTTATTTCAATCATTTCCACACTGAACAAAAAACCAATAGCATGCTTTTATACTAGAAAAGTTAAGAGGGAGCATTCAATCCATCCTACCAGTCAAGAGTTCAACTCTAGCCTCATGTAGAGAAAGAGTCACTGAGCTCGTTTATTCCTGTGATATTTCATGTTCTTTTTCATCCTCACCTGTAGTTTCCTCAGTTTGGCAAAGAGGGTAATGAATGAAACATGCTACTTTCTATGGGCTTGCAAAAAGAGCCAATAGTAAAAACCTAAAATACTAAACTGGAACAATTGTAAAGCCGCGTCAGATAGACTGCTGCTTCGTCATGTATCAACAATATACTCTCACCGGACATTCATGGCTTTCTTTCACCATAACTCAACTTAATAAAAAATATTCAGAGCACATTGTTCCCTGCAACTCGTTATTTCTAGCTTATTCAAACTATGCATTTAGCTATCAGTACTACTGGGAATGTCGAGAATAAACAGTGGGGCCAAAGACAGTGCTCCTTGTCGTAGCTCACAGTAAGTCTTCCTCCCCAACCCACCACTCCTAAGCTATTTACTCTCCTTTTCTCAATCTGTTAGGTCAATCACAGTAGCTCATCTTTAGCCAAGAACTGTAATCAGATTCACTGTCAGTGTCCTATTCTACACCATCATTATCATTTCACAAGGATGTCTAATTCAGAAGAACTGGGTATCCAAAGACTAGATGAGAGAAATCAACCAAAGACAAACAGGAGGGTTTTCATGGCTAGTACCCTTTTCTGAGTGACTGCTAAACACACACAGCATGCTGATATTTTTAATGCCTTCAGCACCACAGATTAAGGGACACACACACACACACACACACACACACACACACACACACACAGTGAAATTGAGGGGGTGGAATGGAAAAGTGTCCTTATTGTCCCTTCTTTAAACAGCATATTCAGAAAAAATGTTTACCCCAACAAGATTTCTGAACTTCTCCGAAGGGATGAGTAGTATCTGGGGATGATGCTGTAACCCAAGCACTAAGGAGGCAGAGGCAGGAGCATTGTGCACTTAAGACCACCCTGGTCTACGTGGCAAACTCAACATACCAAGACATTGAGTTTTTAGTTTTAAAAAACTAAACAAAACATACAAGTAAAAAGTAAAGTCAGACATTGTGTTGAGCTTTTGCTTACTGACAGCCCTCACAGACTCACAGGCAATGACAGCTACTCCGCGTGGTGCAGGGGTGTGTAGCCTACCAGCCGAGGTCTCTATGAGGTCTTCACGATGACAACATTGCTTAGCGATGCATTTGTCAGCAAGTATCCCTGCCATTAACTAGTAGATGGCCACACTGTCAGAAATGACTCCATGAACAACTCTGAATACTGACAATTAGTGGAGTTTTGAAACAATCTGTTGATCAGGTGAAAGGAGGTAAAATAATATAACCCAATCACCACTCATGATTCTTTACTGCTGCATTTGACGAGGCACATGCAGAGGGAAAATTCACTGTGACAAAGGTATAAAATCAAATAAAACGTTGAGGGCCTGAAATGTCTTGAAGACGTGAGCTGTAATCTGATGTTGCTGAGTTCGCTCCCCACACAGTGTGCAATTAGAATCACACTTCATACACCAATATGGGAAAGTGCAGCAAACGTCCATTTACACCTCTTTCTTCTACTGTTATTTTGGTCATTCACATGCGACAGATTCATTTTTTAATTAATATTGGCATATTTTAGATATACATAACGACAGCATCCATCATAGAGAATTTGTTTGATATATATATGATATACCTTGATTCTTTTTTCTTCTTTCTTCCTCAATCAATCCCTTCCCCACCTTTCAACCCCTCTTCTCCTCATTTTTTAATTTTCACTTCCACTTAGAAAATAGAAAATTTAAAAGATAGTTTCAAAACCCCCATAACCCTTCCAGATCAGCAGTTTTGCAGGCTTCAGTTGTGAAAGGTAACAACACAGCAAAGATGTGACCCTGCTGGAAACATTTTAAACCCATTTATCTCTCCATCCCCTAGCTCTGCTTAGCACACCCTCCTCCCTGCTGTCCTGGCGTTAAACGTTAAGCTCCTCTTCTTCCTTCACATCAGTGGGAACGCTTCCCTCATGGGTGTCAGCATGTCTCCGAGGGGTCAGGGGCTGCCCTGCGGAGGAAATGGCAAGCTGTGAAATGGGAAAGAGCAATTCCTTCCACATGTTCCCTGGCTCCCGGAGCAGGGAGGGGCTGTCAGCTACCATCACTTTGGACCTACGCAGCACGCTGCATACTGGTCCTGTCAAACCTCATTTACAATGAAAGACCTGCATGACTGTTTAAAGCTTTTTTAATTCCAGCAGTTTTCAGAAATGACTTTGAGATGGAAATGGATCAAAGGAACAAACAAACAAGCAAATGTAGTGACCTCAATGGGTCGTGGAAAACCTCACAAAATGAGCCAAGGATGAAAACAAATTGCAACAATTAAAAAAGAAATCCATTTATGGTACAATACTTATTGTACCTCCAATTAACATTGGTGTGGAATTTTCCCAGCTAAGCCACAGTTTGAGAAGTTCAGTGTTGTAGCTCTTGGAAGTCTTATTCAGTTTGCAAATAGTTGCGAGGTGCTGGCTTCATTCCTCCAAAGGAAACAAAGAGAAAGGGAGGAGAAAGGAGAGAGGCTTGAGCAGGGAGGACCAATTGATGACTAGAGAGAGACTGCAATGGATTTCAGATATTTTAAAGCTTTTCTGTGACTTAAAATATTTTGATACATTTCCATATCTTAAATAAAGGCATTTTAAATGCAGGTAATTAGCTTTTTATGCAGATTAATCACTTTGAAACATACTGTGGTTCCCTGAGGCTCAATTTCCTACTCAGATGAAGAACTCAGATCCACTTGTGCTGTTTTAAAATCAAAAGATTTTGAAAGAACAAACACCATAAAGTCTAAAATTTGCCTCCAACTTTCACCAGATGGCAATTCTGAAGCAATCACTCCAAATTCTCAGATATACTTTATAGAAGCATTCCCCCTTAAAAGCTATCTGAAAGGGATTAGTGCTATCCATAATATGAAATTATGTGGGAGAAACTGTCTACAAACTCAGCTCTAACTAACAGAACCAAAGTCTTAGGTATTATTTGCCAAAATCAAAATTCATACTGGTTTCAGAACAATTAGTTGACAGATTATTGACTAAAGAGGGGCAGAGAGAGACAGACAGAGAGACAGAGACAGAGACAGAGACAGAGGGAGAGAGAATCCTGAGATAGCTTACTAATATATAAGACAAACTTGCTTTCTTTACGTCACCTGTGTAAAAACGCTAGACTCAGAACTCCGAGGCATGTGACCCAGAGTCTTGACTAACACCCTGGCCACAGGTGCTCAAGTCCTGCTCTGCCAGTCTCTTAATGACAGGGGACACCATCTAAGGCCTGGAGACCAGTTCCTCCACGCTCCCTGACCCGGAGCTTCAGTGGCAAGGCCCCTCAGCTTCTCTCCTCCGTGCACATCAGCTCTGCATTCCGCCCCTGCTTCGTGCCTTGTGTTGGGAATAGCGGCATGCCCTGGGCAAGATGCTATCACTAGGACACCTAATAAGTCACTGAAAAGGAATCACGCATGCATGATCAATCAATTTTTCATTTATGAATTGTCACAAGACCTTTTAAAATTTTTTTAGAGTTTAAGTCCCTGAAACTGCACAGTAAGTCATTTGGATGGAATAGGAAACTTGAGGAAATGACTCCCGTGTTCTGAAAGCCGGTTGATTTTGGATGAAAGTGCAATTCAAGGCAGTTCAACAGGGAAAGAACAATGCTATCAACAAATGATGCTGGAACGAGTGAGCATCCATCTGCAAAAATGCTAACCTACACTTCATACCAATGCAAAAACCAACCTTACTCAACCCTTACTCACAGTGGATCAATCTGAATATAAGATGTAAGATTTTCAGAGGAAAACAGAAGTTTTGTAAACTCAAGTGGGCAGAGTTCAAACACATGGTATTAGAAAGCCTAACATTGACTGAAAGAAGTTGCTCTCACCCTGAAGTTTCAAACCGTACAACAGTGCTGAAAAGACAAAACTACGGAGATAATAAACAGATCAGCGCCTGCCAGGTTTAAGATTGAGTTCAGGGGGAAAAGAATGTATTTACAAAACAACCACAAAGGAGACTTTTAGGTGCAATGAAGTAGTTTCGTACCCTCCTTGTTGTGGTGGTTACGCTAATTCTTACATATGATAAATTTCGTAGAACTCCAAACTGTTTAAAAGTCATTGCTTCTAAGTGTAATTTTAAAGAATTAAACAAATGAAGTCCCGCTTGATTGCTTCCAACAAACAGGAGCTGTGCACCCAAATGGCGCTGAGAGACATCTCCATTTATTCATTCAGCAAGAACCTAGCGGGAATCCACAGTGTGCAAAGTACTGTTGTAGGTGGATTGATAAGCAAACATGTGTCTCTACCCTCCTGGTGTGTGGAGTCTCCCTGTGGTAATGGCCCAGGAGCATGCTAGTGGGGGTACTGAGACCTTCAGGAGTGGCTCTAGGCATAGCGGGGGACAGGTCCCCATGATTTCTGCTTTGTAACAGAAAACAGCTCCAGATGATGTAATATAGTCAAACCACATTAAAAGACAAATCAATCAATTTAACATTTGTTGTCTTATTTGAATCTCCTTATCAACATAAAAGTTCAGCTATTATTATATTTATTCTGCATATATGGAAAAACTATTCCCTCTTCCATAATGTAATTGCCAAATGAAAATTTGTATGTATTTTTTGCTTTGCTAATTCACAGTTGCTTAAGGAATATATTTATGTACTTATGTAGTCAACAAATCCTTTCAGTAATTTCTATGCATCAGGAACAGGACAATGCATGAAATATATTAATTTAGTTATGATTATAAGGGATGTATTGGCTTATTTATTCCACAAATCCTTACTAAGTGATTGCTATGTGGCAGGCACAGGACTGGGCCATTTCAGCTCAGCCCACCATGCTTGTCCCCTGGATGCAGAAGCATATAGAGGAATGGGTAACAACCAGGAAGCCAAGGACACTAAGACACATCCATGGAAGTGCTGATAGGTCCTCTTTAGGAAGACGTGTGAAACTAGTGGTCATACAGATTTGCCAGACAGAACAGCATGAACGAATATCCTAATGTGGAAATCATCATGCTCTATTTGAAGGAACTGAGAAAATCAAGCAATAAATAGCCTCACATCAGTGCTTTCCAACTTAGAATCTCCGGAAGGAGGCTTTCGAGAGCACTGATATGTAAGCCCTGACCCCTGAGCATTTGACTCTTGTAGCTTTGGGCAGAGCCCAGGCATCAGGATTTGTTAAAAGCTTCACAGAGGACTAACTTGCCCGGGCAAGGTTAAAGACATGCTGTTTCATGAACTTTGCTGAATCACAGATATGGGCAAATGTACATTACATATGAAAAGATGTCTTTCATGATTTACTATCTTTTGGTTGTTTTTGACTCTGTGACACTTTTTTATACCAGTTAGGATTGTATGCTCCATTTTTAATGTTGAAAAGCCCACTTAGTAGAATTCCATATATAGTATGTGACACATTATGCAATGCAGATGTGCCTAGACTTACAGCAGGGTTATGTGCTGATACACCCATCCTAAATTTAAAGTATCCTAAGTTGAAAATGAATTTAATATACGCATGCTCTGTTGAACTCAGCAACACAGCACAATGCAGGGCACTGGGATCACATGCCTGATTGGGAGCAGTGGCCTGGCTGTGATGCCCAGCATCATGAGAGAGAATCAGACTGCTGATTACCAGCCTAGGGAAAGAGCCAGATGCAACGCTCAAAGAATTATTTCTTCTTCGTGCACCTCCCTTTCATACCATCGTAACAATGAAAAACCAAAGTCCAAACCATTATAAGTCAGCGACCACCTGTAAGCCATCGTGGCTTCCTGTCTCCTCTTGTGGTTGATTATGACCAGCGTTTGTGAGGAGCTTTAATTAAAGAAGAACTTTTGCCTCATCCAACATCTACATTCATAAAAAGCCTACTTTCAGTGTATACTCCCTGGTCCCACTGCACTCTGCCTCCTGGTTGTTCTGCTACTGTTGCATACTGTTCCATTGTACTTTCCTTCTATCTGCCCTTAAATTAGGGTTTCTACAACTTGGTCCTTTCCTTTCTTCACTAGTAAACACTCATTTCTGCAGCTTTAGGTCCTAGTGGAATGACACCAGTATGCTTGTCCTGAGCTTTCAACGCAGTCGTGTCAACTCCACGTTAGTCATTGTCTTCTTAATTTTTCTCAACACTTTAAATTTAGTTTGACCAAACCAGCTGGTTAACTTTGTTCTGAAACCTGTTCCTACATGTAACTCACACCTGACAAGAGTGACATGATTCTTCGAGCTGGAAATCCTTCTGTTGTGTCTGATCTTTATGTCTTTCATTATAGTACAAGAATCCACTTTTCAAATCCCATTGATTCACCTTTAGCACGTCCCTTGGATACAGCCGAAAGCCCTATTTGATCTCGGGCACTTACTCTGCTTCCTCTGGGTTGATGCAATCACCTCCTTACTGAATTTCTTGCCTTGGAGTGCTCCTTACCCAAACTCATTCCAAAATATAAATGTAAGCACAATGGTTCCTTAAAGTTTCTCAAATATATCTTGTGCCATTTTGATTTCTTCACTTAGCTTGTGATTTTCCTTTCACTGCAAAGACTTTCCATCCACACTTGCCTTTTGAACCCTATGCTACTTTTTTAGCACCAGGACAAGACTGTGAGATTAACACATATTTCCCAGATTGCAACAATATAAAATTTTAAATGAAATTACATTATGTTAAAAGTTCAGGCACATTTTAAATGTCTCCAAAACTCTGTTTATTTCTATGAATCCACTTGTATGTTCTACAGTGGTTCATAATCACTCATTTTGACTAATTTTTGCTATACTACACTGGCTTCTTAACACACTGGATCATAGACTTTCTGTGTATGTGTGTGTGCAATACCTGACAGAATAGTTGTTATGGCTTATGGAATATCCAAGAAGATAATTGTTACAGTTTATATATAGATGTCCTTTAGTTTTTGTTTTTCTGTTTTTTTTTTTTTTTTTTTTTTTTTTTTTTTTTTTTTTTTTTGGTGTTGATGTTGGTTTTGTTTTGTTTTTGTACTAGGAATCAAACTCAGAACCTTGTGCTTGCCAGGTAGGTGCTATGCCACTGAGCCGTATCCCTGTCCCTAGGTGTCTTCCTG